TTCATTATATTTTATTATTTCTTTTATTAATATTTTCTTTTAAAATCCTCTGTTACTCAAATGATATATTATTCAAGGGGAAAGGAGCATTTAGATTACTAGATTATTGTTTATACATTTTACAGATTGCAGATAACATAATCGTGTACACAGCCATTCTGTAAACTGCTCTGTTCAGTTTAAAGTCTGTATCCAAGCAGAGCTTTGCCCATGGAGTGATAATCCTTCCAAGTGTAGGGTTGCGTACCGAAGTATCTGTGAGTTTTAATAGATTATTTTATGGATTTCTTTGGAAAAATTCATGCGAAACCACTTTTTTTTTTAAATCTGGCAAATTAGAAGCATGAATACATTACTTCTTTTTCACCAATATGGATGTATATACAGTTGATGAAATCAGAGTGGAAGGGAGGGTTTGGTTCAATAATATGTGTATTTTATATACTTCCCTTCAACAAGGCCAAAAATGAACAAACCTGGAAGACCTGTCTACATTATGCATAGTAAGCTAACATCATTATTGCAGCAGGAGCTAATTTTGACCGTTCAGTGTTAGAATAAATATATTTTTATCATGTTCCCATTTGCAGACTAGCTGTGGCCATTGTTAAGATGCATTTTTTCTTATCTAAAAGCACACTGAATATTTTGAGGGAAATAAAGGAGCCACAGCCACTTCTTCAAGAAGCTGATTTGTTATTTTTGTTATAGTGCAAGATGTTCTTATCTATGTTTAACTTGGTTTAGAGACTACTAAAGAGAACATAGCCATGCGTAAAGTAGCAGGAGGAAGTACTCTCACCTTTCCTGGGTTAGGAAGTCATCTGGATACAGGATTGGTGGCATCAAACATTAAACTCTTAAGAAATGGCGTGTGGCAGAAAATCAGGACTTGGTTGAGGACAGCTACAGTTAGTTTACATGTTTTCCTCCACTGTTATTGCTGCTCGCATCCAGGAATGGTCATTGGACCACCAGAGGAAAGTCAGTCTCATCTAAAGCAGAATTAAGAAAGCAATTTGATGTTCCTCTGGGCACTGCATAACAAATATTAATCAGAAGACAGTAAGATTGCTTTCTCTATGTCAAGGAGTTTCTCTACTCCTTTCCCTAGAAATACCAATAGTATTCTTCTTTGGAGAAGTGAGAAATTATTATTATTAAAAGCTGGATCTAGGTCTGACTCTTAACGAGCCAGTTAGTGAAGGAAAAGCTGAAGTACACCAGCACCAAACTTATTACAAGGCAGCTGGCCACAGTGTAAGATATTTCACCCCTGAACTTCAGCACCATCCAGCTACTGCTGAGACTGAAGAAATTTGTATTGCAAAGATTCTCCTTCCAGAAACTATCCTAAAGCTGATTCTTACAAATCCTTTTAACTCCAGTATGCATATTCAGATGAGGGGTGCTTGTTTTGTTTTACAGCTATTTTCTTTATCGTTTTTAAGAAAACTGCCACTCTGTGGGATATTATACATTTTGTCCTGAAGAGATAAGAGTCACAGAATGGCATGGGTTGCAAAGGACACTCAAGGATCATCTAGTCCACTTCCCCTGCCATGGGCAGAGACGCCTCCCACCACACCAAGTTGCTCAAAGCCCCATCCAGCCTGGCTTTGAACACTTCCAGGGAGGGGGCATCCACAACTTCTCTGGGCAACCTGTGCCAGTGTCTCACTACTCTCCGAGTAAAGACTTTCTTCCCAATATCTAATCTAAATCTACCTTCTTTCAGTTTGAGACCATTACCCCTCATCCTATCACTACACTACCTGATAAAGAGTCCTTCTCCAGCTTTCTTGTAGGCCCCTTCAGGTACTGGAAGGCTGCTATAAGGTCTCCTAGGAGCCTTCTCTTCTCCAGGCTGAACAACCTCAGCTCTCTCAGCTTGTCCCCACAGGAGAGGTGCTTCAGCCCCTGATCAGGTTTGTGGCCGTCCTCTGGACCTGCTCCAACACCTCGATGTCCTTCTTATGTTGGGGGCCCCAGAGCTGGAAACAGTACTCTGGATGGGATCTCACCAGAGCAGAGCAGAGGGGCAGAATCACCTCCCTTGACCTGCTGACCACGTTTCTTTTGATGCAGCCCAGGATACAGCTGGCTTTCTGGTCTGCAAACACACATTGCCAGCTCATGGGCAGCATGCAGATCACTCTGAAATAAAAGGTACCACGAGGTGTTTCAGCAAAGTAATCCCTTTAACACTCAGCAAATACAGAACTGGCAATAATGCACTCTTCTGTAAAGATTTCTACATGAAAAGGGGAGAGCCGAGTATGTGGGGAAAACCCTAAAGATAAAATAAATACAAAATTTAGCAGGCCTTCCTCATTAAAGTGTTGGAAGTTTTTAAATTTCTTTGGATGGTAAGGTTTCATTTTAAAATTTATCATTTTAGGAATCAGAGGAGATACAAGTCATTGCCCAACAGTTTGATTTTTTTTTTCTTTATTCAATTGCTTGCTATTACCCATTTCAAAAAATTGGTAATTAGAGTAAATGTGGTTGAATTTTTATTTTTTTTTTTGTCAGAGGTCAAGTCTGCACCATTAAAATAAATAAGCTTTTTTAGTATTTACCTTTCTCTGTATCTGTGAGGCAGCAAAGAACTCTTCCGGGAAAAATAAAGAAAGGATCATTTTAATCCATTTTATGTCACAGAATAGAGCACATTGTAATCTGTTCAAAAGAGAAATGCATTGGTCTCACTGCCTATCGTTTATAAAAGTATTTAGAATTTACTATCAATTTTCAGTATTTTTATTTGCTTTGGTAAAAAGGCATCATGATCATAACTGCAGTACAGTATCTTAAATTTGATTTACATATGAGAGTTTGATTGGGTATGTACTATGTGGTGCTCATATTATACTCCTCTGAAAGAGCTCTGACGGAGACCATTGTATTGTGTTCATTATGCCAGCTTTGTGACTTCAAGAAGAAAAAACAGGTACCTGAATATGAACAAGAAAAACAAAGGGTAGGAAAAAGAACAGGCAGAACAGATAAAGAATGAGTAGGATAAGTGAGTGCTTTACAAATGAAAGCAGATGTATGAAATTACAAGCTGTCGGATCAGCAACGGAAATGAAGATGATATACACAGATTATAATTATTCATTTTGCCCAGTCCTGCATCTTTTCCCCATAATCCTCTTGTTGAGGGAGGAAAGGTACAGGAGGATATGAGGCTTATTCACATGAAAGAAAAAGAGTAAAACATTTAAATCATTCTGTCCACAAAACAGTCCTTATTTTGCCTTCTATTGATTCAAAATAATTTTGCATTTGCAATGATCCTTTCTGGTGTAGAGGCCTGATTAATTAGGAGTATTTGTTACTAGAGCTAAAGTTCTCAGAATAGTAAAGTTTGTTAAAAAAATTATTTATAATTACTATTGTTGGAGGCTGTCTTTTTGTTGCAGAGTGCAAGCATCATTAACAGGCATTGCTTTGACAGCTGTGGCAGATGGATTGCCTGGATTTAGATGGTGCAAAGGAAATGAAGGAGTTTACATAGACCTGCCTGAAAAGATGTCTTTAATAATTGCACTCATAATTAGATTGATTTGGGGGAAAAAAAGAAACCAAAAAAACAACAACAAAAAAAACCCCAACAAACAAATAGAAGATGACAGCGGCAAGGAAAGAACCATAGAGTATACTTACATAGATTCAGATAAAATCAAGGACAATTATCATGAAACTATAAACTTTAGCAAAGCTTGCTAAATATTTCCTGAATAAGTAAAAATTTCTAATAAAGTTTATGGTATATTCTATTTTTAGGTATTTATGAAATCAAAATCTAGACTTCTCCCTTTTCCTTGAACATTTCTTGCATAGTTTCTGATATACAAGAAAACAAGGAGTCTGTTTCATACATTTTACGTATGTGTATAGGCATTTATGTATATATGTACATAAGAACAACATAAAAGATATTTCAGCAAAGAATTGTCAAAGTAGGGCAAAGTTATCATAAAAGCAGGACTGAAGGGAAAATTTATCTCACAAATTATAATACTCAAATTTAGGTGTCTGCAGATGACAGTGTCCATTTCAGAGTGTAGGACCAGTTCTTCAGACTCCACTGACTGTATTGCCCTGACCTCCACTGGCTCAGGGCAAGCTTTAGGTGCACAGCTACAGAGATCTAAATGTAGGCATCTAAATCCAGAGGTAATATAAATGTCAGTGACACAAAATCAGTGATAGGTTTAGCATTGTCTTTAATGATATTGGACCAAGTGTAGTAATGACGTTTGGTTATGCAATATCTTCTTTTACTCTGAGCACTGCTTGCATTCTAAGAGACCTAATGTGGGAAAGGACAGCTGAGTTTGAACTGTAATAAATCTACTGGAAACGGTACTGGTTTAGAATATCAAAATAAGATAGTAATATTTCTTTTTTCTCTCTCTCTTTTTTTTTCATTTTCATTGTAGTGATTTCAAGTAATTATCAGACCTGTTTGGGACTCCTGATGCATTATCCACCCATTGGAGATGTTCACTCCCTTATCTTAAGAGCACTTTTTCTCCGAGATCCAAAGGTGAGATGCTCACTTAGTAAATACAGGGAATGAATCTCTGTAATAAAGCGTTCTAAATACTAAGAAGTTAACAACAACCTACATTTTGGGGACTAAACTGTAGCTTCAAGTTTCTTCTTGAATGACAAAAAAGCTGAAGGAAAGAGTTGGTAACCAAGAGCAGAAACAAGTTCTTTTTCTCTATAAAGGATACTGCCCTGCTCCTTTGCTAAAGTTATCCAGCAGCTCTGGTAACTGCAGGTGTTTATGTTCTTTAGAATACCTTTACCTGCTATTCTGCACAAACATCTTTCATAATAAAGTGTACTTTTGAGGGAACAGTAATATTTTCTATAATAACCTAGTAAGCTGTATAGAAACTGTCATGCAATTTCATCTGTAAGACCTTTTTCATGGGATTTCTGCAGATTAATCACTCTTAATCCTTATACCACTACCACTGCTCAATATATATAATAGTTATGTGATGGTTTTCAATTAAAAGCGAGAGTCTGCTGTTACAGCTTGAAAAGATTCACATGAATAAATAAATTTTATGTTACATATTACTAACATACAGTTTACGATATACTCATCTGTACTAAAAAAACCAGCAAACTTCTTGCTGTTTAAGTATGGCATGTGTATATGTATGGATATAATATACAGCAGATAACCACAGTATAGTGGATAGAGTGTTTGAGATGAAGCTGTACACAGTAATCCTTGCAGTACTCAGATCTTTGGCAGATAGCAGAATTTGTGCTGCTGGTTTCAAACTGTCTTTGTGCGTGTCCCATTAGTAGGCTGCCAGTGTAAAGTCTTGAGTTCCCTCATCTTCCCGATGCACGTCACCTTTGAATGTGAAAAATTCATCACGTCTGCACTCTGACTGCCTTCTGCAAAATTTCATTCAGTACTAATGTTTACACTTTTATGGATTAAGAAAAAAAGTGTCTCTTTGTTTCTCTATCAGTTTTTTGCAGAAATCTGCATTCTTACAGCTGCTTTCTTCATTCCTTTCAGGCACAAAGATTTCTTTCATGATGAGTAGTAAAGTATATCGTCTTTTCAGTGTGTAAGAAAGTTTGTAATGTTAGATCTCAGGAATCTTTATTAAAATTTCAGAAGTAGTCTGTGAAATCAGACTGTCCAGCAATTATTTATGTACTCTCTTAGAAAAACAAAGTAGAAGTAAATTAGAGGGAAGATAGGGAGGAAAATTGTCCTAAGATACCAAACTAAATCCACTATGTAATTTGTCATTTATTGAAGGTATATGTTAAAAGACAGAATAATTACTAATTATGCAGCTGTCCTCCAAAGCATCGTAGGTAGTAAATAAGGTATCTTTCCAGCTGAAGGGAGTAGGATAAAATAAACCACCAACTTCCCACTAAAGAAGCTTGATCACTATTCTGCTCCTTACATTCTTTTCCCAACAGAATGAAGTTGTCAGGTGCATAAGGCCTCAGTGTCCTATTAATTAACATTCTCAGGTGTGCCTTGAACACCTTTCAGGAAAATACTGTATGTATTTCCTACCACGTCTTTGAGGTAGTTCTTCCTTCACTCAGGTGAATGAGTTCTTAAAGCTTTTTCATGCAAAGTCTGCTAGTTTTTTCAACAATTCAAATATAATTAATTACAGTTGTTCCTCATTTCTGAGCTGTATTGCTTGGGAAATACTGTGAAGGTTAGGAAGCTGAGATTTCCAGAGAATGAAGAGCCCTAAACAACTTCCAGCCACCTCTTGTTTTATGTTGGGTCTTTGACTTGAGACTGCATAAACAGATCTGGACTGCTTACAGTAAGGAAGCTAAATTGTTCTAAAGGATCAATCTAAAAGGAAAAATAGTAGCTCCTGGTCTTAGAAAGAAATGCATTTTTCATGCTATGACTTGAGTACCTGTTTCTTATC